TACGAAGCTGGTGAGGAGAGAAGGCGGTGACGCACTCAGAAGGTAAGTCACCCTTAGACACTCCCCTCATTGAGTGCCTCACCTCAAGTGTTGGGTCACCCACCCCCTCACCCACCCTCCTCACCCCCTCACCCCACCCCCCTCACCCACCCCCCTCACCCACCCCCCTCACCCCACCCCCCTCACCCACCCCTCACCCACCCCCCTCCAACACCACCCCTTCTATATTACCACTCACCCAGTCCCCTCACACCACCACCGCCTTGGGTCTAGTTTACCACTCCACAATATTTACGTCACCCCCTCACGCGTCACAAGATAACCTCACGGCGCCACAACAGAACAAACCCCATTATAACAAGGTATAACACTGCTCATTTACACTACTACTACAACTACTACTTTTAATAATAATAATAATAATAATAATAATAATAATAATAATAATACCACCTACATTAAACGCTCATAATATCTCGAGTCTAATATTTTGTTTTCTTTTATCTTCAACTCATCATCCTGCCCGCCCACCACGTCGCCTCATTCCTGGAACACCCGACAGTTTCTTGGTACATCTTTAATTATTCTCTGTGTTGGAGTTAGTGTGTTGGTGAATAGTGTTGTATTTTATTCGCTGTGTCGGAAAATACGGCTTTTTGTGTTTGTTTTTTATTCTTTGAGTAGGAAAGAATATTATATTGTCTTATGTTGACTCGGTAGGAGCGTGTGTGTGTGTGTGTGTGTGTGTGTGTGTGTGTGTGTGTGTGTGTGTGTAGACCGTAACTCCTGGTCACTCACGGTCCGTCATGGTCACTCACAGTCACTCATGGTCAATCACGGTTACTCACGGTCACTCACGGTCACTCATGATCACTTAGGGTCACTCACGATCACTCATGGACACTCACAGTCACTCATGGTCACTCACCCAACTAGCCAGATCGAACTGTGCTTATAGCTGCAGTAACCACACCTGCTGTAACTGAAATGCCGATAATTTTGCCAAGTTCGTAATATTACCACACACACACACACACACACACACACACACACACACACACACACACACACACACACACACACACACACACACACACACACACACACACACACACACACACACACACACACACACACACACATACACACACATTGCCATAACACGAAAGATACAACGAGTATTATTACCATAAGTCCATCTTATCCTTATAGATCACAACCATACTTATTATAATAGTAAAAAACTTATAAAACTCATAAGTATCAACTATGTGTCACAGTGTATCATTGGCGTGTCGAGTTGTTATGTTAGTGAATATTTCAACATGTGTCATCAATGGGGTGTACAGAGAACCATACCGCGGGCCTGAGGTTATACTCACCGCCGCCAGGGCCGCTCAGGTGTGCTTCACAGATACAAGGGTCGATTCTGGATAAAAAATGTGTTGTATTGAGTAGTGTGTGTGTGTGTGTCGTGTGTGTGTGTGTGTGTGTGTGTCTGTGTAAAGTGTGTGTGTGTGTATGTGTGTGTGTGTGTGTGTGTAGTGTGTGTGTGTGTGTGTGTAAGTGTGTGTGTGTGTGTGTGTTGTAATCTAGTGAAAGTAAACTCTCTCTAATGTACAGTATATGTATGTGTTCCTGAACTATACATACACAATATACATAACACAGTATATTCACATAATACATTTACTACCCTGGGGGAAGAATAGCGATAATACTAATAATTAAACAATTATGTCTACAGCAGCAGGCGGGGCGAGGGATTACCTTTGGAAGTCTGACGGTAAAATAAAACTCAAAGGTAAAATGAAACAGCGACAGGTGTAATTACTCTCATATGTCATTCTTACCTGGACATTAAGAAATAAACGGAGGTATTGTGGCCTTATCTCGGTAATTATCGCTGTGGTCGCTAATTGGAGGTTAGAATACTGTACAGGTGAACACAGGTAAAACACACATGTATCAGGAACCTCAGCGGACGACACAAGGTAAACTTCCTCCTAGTGAAGATACGGGAGAGTGATTTAAGTGTCTAAGCACATAGTTGGTGATTAAAATAGCATCAAAATTACCTCTGAAACCTTAGTGTAAATTAAATTAATCTCTTATACCCAGAAAAGGAAAAGACGATCCCACGATGCTTGTACAGTAACAGTTCCGTAACCGCTCGAGGCACAACGAACCTAAAACAAAAATTAAATACAAATGACTCAGTGGATTTAATTATAATAATTCTCCTCACAAGTTTAATCCAACAACGTTAATCTGGATTCTCAAAACGTTTCCATATTATTCTTCTCATAATAGGAATAAAATAATTACAAGATTACAGAGCACAGATTAGGTTAGGTTAGAAGGACAACATCTATTGACAGAACCTTTGTGACCCCAGAGGTTAGGTTAGGTTAGGTTAGGTTAGGTTAGGTTAGGTTAGGGTTAGGCTAGACGTGGCTGGCCTCATAGTGGACAACACACCAGGGAGGAGGTAAACACACGCCGGGGGCCAGGATCTCGTGCGCCAGGCGAAACAAGGTCACGGTGGTGTTGGTGATTACGAGTTTAGTTTCCGCTTCGTATGTATCTACGGTTAGGTTAGGCAGTCACACATCTCCAGGTTAGGTTAAGTTTGGTTAGGTCAGGTTAGGTTAGGTTAAGTTTGGTTAGGTTAGGTTAGAGAAGGATACTGCACTTATCACTCGTTCTCATCTCAGGGGGTAATGGTGTTATCTGTACCTTGAAGAAAAACACAAAATCCTCCGAGATGTTCCGTGAAACACACATACAGTACACCCTCTCAAGTGTACCATAAGGTGTACCATAATCTACTGTTTACCTTTTACCCCCCCCCATCAGAGAGGGAGGGGGTATATTACCATCACTGTGTGGATGATTGAGAGAGAGAGAAAAATGCACCACCAGTCATCCACACCAAAACACACAAGATGGATGACGTTGGGGTAGTGAGTGACAGGTGCGTGGGGGAGGGCGGGGGTGTGTGTTGAGGGGGCAGGGGTGTGTTGGGGGTAGGGAGGGAGAGATGCAGCGTGTGGTTACGGCATCTATATAACTAACTGTATAATTGGATAATAACCTAAGACTTTGTCCTGCCACAGATGCCATTTAGAGTCAACAAAAGTGAACATGATTCATCTACACTAACAAGCCTTTGAGATAATGGCGCCTCCTTCCATCCCCCCAAAAAGTATTTAATATTTCTTTAAGACATATAGTACTCGTCCTTGTATATGTCTGTATGTCTGTCTGTCTGTATTTATCTCTGGGTAGTATCATGAACTTCTAACTTCTCCCAATAGATCACTAGACCACCAACTTCCATCAAATGTTAAACACTTCCAAAGGTCAAATAATGATGAGGAAGACTTCACCCACAAGAGGTCCATAGCGGCGTGAAATGAAGCACTCAAGCAATGTTAATATTTGTTAATGTATCTAAAACGACTATTGTAATTACGAAAGGTGAGATGCTATGTGGTTTTATATGTCGTACAGGTAAGGTTGTATTTAATTTACACACACACACACACACACACACACACACACACACACACACAAATATCATAGTAAGGTGTTCAATAATGTACAAATGCCCTGCAAACACACATACTTCACTACATACTTTCGTCGAGGACTTTTTATCATTGGTTAGGTTAAGTTTAGGTTAGATTAGGTAGAGGCCAGTCAGAGGTTTAATCCCTAGGTTCTCCTCGATCTCCAGCTAGTAATTGGAACGAGCGGTTAGGGGGTGATTCTCTGCCACTTAAAGACTCTCGTAACACAGTCTGGTCACGAGAACCTCTAGAGAGAGAGAGAGAGAGAGAGACAGAGAGAGAGAGAAACAGAGAGAACATCAAAGGAGAAAAAAACATCAAAAGAGAGAGCAATTGAGAGAAAGACCTCAAAAGAAAGAAAGAAAGAGAGACAGAAGGGTTAGTGATATTGACCAAACATGCCCTATGGATAATCTTTACGCCCGGCCAACACAAGAAGGAGGAGGTCACCCTCAAGCAACTTACCAGGTCTTGGCATTCCTCGTCAATAATGTATCAGGTGATGTGAGGCAAGCACAGGTGTAGAGCTCTCTCTCTCTCTCCCTTACTGGAAGCTGACATTATGATTTCTTATGGTATAGAGTGGCTAGTGGGTGGTGGTGGTGATGACGTGTGTGGTGGCTGGTGGTGGTGGTGATGACGTGGGTGGTGGCTGGTGGTGATGACTGTGTGTGGTGGCTGGGTGGTGATGACGTTGGTGGTGGTGGTGACGTGTGTGGTGGTGTGGTGGTGGTGATGACGTGTGTGGTGGCTGGTGGTGGTGACGTGTGTGTGGTGGCTGGTGGTGGTGACGGTGTGTGTGGTGGTGGTGGTGATGACGTGTGGGTGGTGGGTGGTGGTGGTGGTGACGTGTGTGTGGTGGCTGGTGGTGGTGACTGTGTGTGGTGGTGGTGGTGGTGACGTGTGTGTGGTGGCTGGTGGTGGTGACGTGTGGTGGTGGTGGTGGTGGTGGTGACGTGTGGGTGTGTAGGTGTGTCTGACTCAGCGTCTTAACCCTCACTTAAAGACGTTCTCACACTACTCTCTGAAAACAATAAAACACTTAAGATATAAACAAAACAAAACAAAAAACAAAACGAATCGATCAGTTGTGTTAAAAACTCTATCCTCCCCCAGTCTCGTACTAACACCTTCTAAACCGATTCAAATCCATCAACATTCCACGGAATCTATCGGTCCTCGTGCCGATAAAACCTTTAACCATTGAGTTATTCTCCCTAGGACAAACACGTCATAGACACACACACATAACATACATACACAAATACACATACACATTACACAAGCGGTACAAACATTCCTCCGGTAATCCCCCCACCAGTTTGTGCCGGTTCGGACAGGCGAATTCCATGACAAGGGCCACGGCAGAGCCACAGGTTCGGCAGTGTCCAGAGAGGGAGGGCCAAGTGAGAGGTGTGCCACTGTCGCTCACGCTACCCACTAACCCACCACCACCACTCCACCCCCCCAACCCACCCCCTCCGCGTGTGTGTGTAACTGTGTCGTATTTGTGGATATTTTGAAGGATACGCGATGTGGATATTTCGCTAATGGTGGATAAGTATGTTTCTGTTGTTGTGTGTGTGTGTGTGTGTGTGTGTGTGTGTGTGTGTGTGTGTGTGTGTGTGGTGTGTGTGTGCGTGTGTGTGTGTGTGTGTGTGTGTGTGTGTGTGTGTGTGTGTGTGTGTGTGGTTGTTTATTATTATTATTATTATTATTATTATTATTATTATTATTATTATTATTATTATTATTATTATTATTGTTGTTGTTGTTGTTGTTGTTGTTGTTTGTGTCATGAGGCAAACATTATATGTTTTATCTAAAGAAAATAATTCTTCCGTATAAATAATTATATATTTTTGGGCAGATAAAATAAGCGATTATCGTGAGGTTAGGTTCGGTTAGGTTAGGTTAGGTTAGGTCAGGTTAGGTTAGGTTTTAGCAGTGTGAAAAAAGAACCAATTTATTCTCAACCTGTATATTGTGGGAAGGAAGAGTACGTTTTAGAGGTGGACACACACACACACACACACACACACATTGGACTTTTCATCATCCGGACTTAAAGATTTCTCGGACTTTTAGCATCGGGTTAGTGAATGAGACTTAACCACGCTCCTGAGGCCTTGACCGACCTCCTGGAGGACTGTGTAGTGAGGTAATCGGCCCTCTACCTCTCGAGTTATGAGGCCAGCGGTTCGGTAATTACATGGAGAATGAGTTATGAGGCGGGAGGTAGAGTGTGAGAGTGATGGGTAGGGGTGGTGGTGAGGGTGGTGAGGGGTGGTGAGGGGTGGTGGTGGGTGGTGGTGAGGGTGTGGTGGTGGTGAGGGTGGTGGTGAGAGGTGTGGTGAGGTGGTGGTGAGGGTGGTGGTAGGGGTGTTGAGGGTGGTGGTGGGTGAGGGGTGGTGGTGGGGGTGGTGAGGGTGGTGGTGGGTAGGGGTGGTGGTGGTGGTGGGGTGGTGGTGAGGGGTGGTGGGGGGTGGTGGTGGGGTGTTGGGGTGGTGGTGGTGGGGTGGTGGTGGGGGGTGGTGAGGGGTGGTGGTGGTGGTGGTGAGGGGTGGGTGGTGGTGGGTGGAGGGGTGGTGGGTAGGGTGGTGGTGTGAGTGGGTAGGGGTGGTGGTGGGGTGGTGGTGGGGTGGTGGGGTGGTGGTGGTGGTGGGGGGTGGTGGTGAGGGTGAGGGGTGGTGGTGAGGGTGGTGGTGGTGAGGGTGGTGGTGAGGGGTGGTGGTGAGGGGTGGTGAGGGGTGGTGAGGGGTGAGGGTGGTGGGGGTGGTGGTGGTGGTGGTGAGGGGTGGTGGTGGTGGTGAGGGGTGGTGGTGGTGAGGGGTGGTGGTGAGGAGGGTGGTGGTGAGGGTGGTGGGGGTGGTGGTGGTGGTGGTGATGGTGAGGGTGGTGGTGGTGGTAGGGTGGTGAGGGTGATGGTGGTGGTGGTGAGGGTGGTGGTGGTGGTGGTGGTGGGGAGTGGTGGTGGTGAGGGGTGGTGGTGAGGGGTGGTGGTGAGTTGGTGGTGGTGGTGAGGGTGGGTGGTGGTGAGGGGTGGTGGTGGTGGTAGGGTGGTGGGTGGGTGGTGGTGAGGGTGGTGGTGGTGGGTGAGGGTGGTGGTGGGGGTGGTGGTGAGGAGTGGTGGTGGTGGGGTGGGTGGTGAGGGGTGGTGAGGGGTGGTGATGGGGGTGGTGGTGAGGGTGGTGGTGGGTGGGGTGGGGTGGTGGTGGTGGTGGGGGTGGTGAGGGTGGTGGTGGTGAGGTGGTGGTGGTGGTGGGGTGGTGATGGTGAGGGGTGGTGAGGGTGGTGGTGGTGAGGGGTGGTGGTGATGGTGGTGGTGGTGGTGGTGGGGGTGGTGGTGAGGGTGGTGGTGGTGAGGTGGTGGTGGTGGTGGTGGTGGTGAGGGTGGTGGTGGTGGTGAGGGTGGTGGTGGTGAGGGTGGTGGTGGTGGTGGTGAGGAGGGTGGCAGTGGACGGAAGGTGTGGGTGGGAAGTGGTGGTAGTTAGGGAAGTGGTGGTAGTTAGGGAAGTGAGGAGTGAGAGGCTACGTGGTCGGCTCACCTAGCAACGTGACGTCACAGTAGTAAACATGGGACTAGACAAACAACTGACGACAACAATTTAGTTCCTTGTCATTCCCAACCTCCCCCCCCCCACCTATCTATCTATCTATCTATCTATCTATCTATCTCCTACCAAGAGTTGCAACGCGATATTAAAACTGAAATATAAGGTCAAGAACTTAACTGCAGTAATTTTTGTAAAATCAATTGACAAACATAATTATGTCTCAATATTTTGTTGTTGTATTCGTTTGATGGCAAAGATAACACACTGCAGTAATTCCCTTTACGTTTGTCTCTAATTGTTTTCACCATCAATAATATTTTAGTGTTTCAGTGCATTCCATTTTTTTATGGGGGAGGGAGGGAGGGAGGGAGGTATGTTTATTTGTTTCTCATTATTGGATAAATTTAAATTGATGTCTTGTAGTTATTTTAAGGTGAAATGAATTTAATCCCACAAGAACTTTCAACCAACTCCCAATAACACATAAACACGTCACTCTCCTATTTCTTGTTGACACCCAATTTACGTAGAGGTTAATGAGGAGGAGATGTTATTGTTGTTATTAATGTTGTGTGTAAGTAAATTAAGATATATCAAGACTTGAGAGCTTCCTCCCTGACACCACACGAGGAGGAGGAGGAGGAGAAGGAGAAGAAGAAGATGAAGAAGAAGATGAAGATGATGAAGAAGAAGAAGATGATGAAGAAGAAGAAGAAGAAGAAGAAGAAGAAGAAGAAGAAGAAGAAGAAGAAGAAGAAGAAGATGATGAAGAAGAAGATGAAGAAGAAGATGAAGATGATGAAGAAGAAGAAGATGATGAAGAAGAAGAAGAAGAAGAAGAAGAAGAAGAAGAAGAAGAAGAAGAAGAAGAAGAAGAAGAAGACGAAGACGAAGACGAAGAAGAAGAAGAAGAAGAAGAAGAAGAAGAAGAAGAAGAGGGAGGGAAAAAAGGAAAATAGGCAGAACAAAAGGAAGGGAAGACAGAAGAAGGAAGAACAAGAAGCAGGGAAGGGAAGAAGAAGGAAGGGAAGTGTGAGGGAAGGAACAGGTAGGGGCTGGGTCACCCTTACCTGGCTGCTGAGATTAATGACCTTGACATCATTAAGGTTTAACAGAGTTCCCCCACACAGGTGTAGTGATGGATGATACCTGCCCCCTCCCCCTCCTACCCCTTACCCCCTCCTACCCCTTCCTATCCCCTACCCCCTCCTACCCCTTCCTATCCCCACCCCCACAACCACCACTACCACCACCATCTAACCTCCCCCCACCCCTCATTACCATCCGCACCTACACTATTTCCGGGTCTTTAATAGTCGTAATCAAAGGTTTATCGACGTGGGTCACCTGTGAGACACCTCAAGGCTCTATACCTCATAAAGATACACAGTTAATTCACCTCTACAGCACACCCAGAGGACAGGGGATCGAACCTTGTACCTGGAAAATCACAGCCAAGAATACCATAGTGGACAGTGATTCAGACATAAGGAAGATTGAGTGTAAATAAGGCAATATTCGGAAGGCCTTTACAGTCGAGAATCCTTTGGCGTATGTGAGTGTTCAGTGAGGGAAGAATATGACACTGATTTAGTACACTCTGTTCATTGATACGGGTCTTGTTAAATACCTCAAGTGTGTAGTGAATGGTTAGAATGTCTTATGTGTTCTGGTGGTAAAAGCGAATATATTTGTGTCCTAGGTTAGGTTAGGTGAGGTTAGGTTAGGTTTGGTTTGATTTGGTTTGGTTAGGTTAGGTTTGGTTAGGTTTGGTTAGGTTAGGTTAGGAAACGGGGAGTACAGGTATTGTATCATTAAACCACTTATTAACAAGAGACCAGATTGGTATAGAAAACCAAACCTAACAAAACCTAACCTAACCTAACCTAACCAAACCAAACCAAACCAAACCAAACCAAACCAAACCTAACCTAACCTAACCAAACCTAACCAAACCAAACCATCTCCATCCATATCTCGTCACTACTCTCGAAAACTCAAAGTCTATCACAGAATAAATAGAAAAAAATAAGACGTGAAATAGACAGGAATAATTGAATATCAAAATAGACCGAGTTGATTAATGTTTGGTTTTGGGTGCAAGGAATGTCTGTCTGTCTGTGTCTGTCTGTCTGTCTGTCTGTCTGTCTGTCTGTCTGTTTGCCTGTCTGTCTGTCTATCTATCTGTATGTCTGTCTCTGTCTGTCTGTCTGTCTGTCTGTTTGCCTGTCTGTCTGACTGTCTGTCTGTCTGTCTGTCTGTCTATCCTGTCTGCCTGTCTGTCTGTCACCTGTCTGTCTGTCTGTCTGTCTGTTTGTCTGTCTGTCTGTCTGTATGTCTGTTTGTATGTCTGTCTGTCTGTCTGTGTCTGTCTGACTGTCTGTCTGTCTGCCTGTCTGTCTGTCTGTCTGTCTGTCTCTCTGTGTCATGGGTCGTATATGTCATATTAATACAGTGGACTGCACTTAGGGAAAAATAAAAATAAGTTCATTTCCTTTTTCCCTCTTTTCACTGATCTGGGTCACTGAATACCCCCGTTGAGAGAGAGAGAGAGAGAGAGAGAGAGAGAGAGAGAGAGTGGTCTAAATATTTGAGAATCTTTCGCCACGCCGCTGTCAATGAGGGAAGGGTCGCTCACATGGAGGTTGGCTGCCCTGTTAAATAACATTTTCTTTGGGGGTAAAAGTTTTCAGTGTTAAACTCTCAGTATATTTTTAATTTTGAATAGCTAAGCCTAAGACATGATCGGATAGGCCTATTTATGACGTACTGTGGCGGCTGTAGAGTTGGGATTAATATTTAGATCAGTGAATAAGACGCATGTGACCTAACCTAACCTAATCTAATCTAACCTAACTTAACCTAATCCACGGCAGATCATCTAAGTCTGAGTTTTTCACACACACACACACACACACACACACACACACAAGGAACTAGAGGTCAATAAAGGTCAAACACATTTAACAGCTCAAAAATGACGACGTGTAACTCAAAGACAAATGGAATCTAATTACTGTAAGTGAGGTCAAAGCCACAGGTCAAGTCCATTTAATATAAAATAAAAAGGTCAATTTATCAGAGCGCTAGTGGGCAGTAATACTCATTACGTAATTATGTTATAGGTTAGGTTAGGTTAGGTTAGGTTAGGTTAGGATAGGTTAGGTTAGGTTAGGTTAGGTTAGGTTAGGTTAGGTTAGGTTAGGTGAGAACTAAAGATCTAACAACCTCATAAACACTAATTAACTCAACATTATCTTCCTTTATTTTATCAATTTCTTCTATGATTCATTTCAACATTTAAATTGTACAAAGATCTCTTCTGCCGCGATGCACTTCCCAGTAGAGAGAGAGAGAGAGAGAGAGAGACACACTCACAGAGGAGAGAGAGAGAGAGAGACAGACGAAGAAATATTCACACAGTTTCAAGTTTATGTTATTGTAGTACTCATATAATGGCCGCCTAGCGTGTGTATTCTATAGCTTTTAATAGTTCTACATACACACACACACACACACACACACACCACCTCCCCCACACACACCACCTACCCACCCCCACACACTCCTCCCCACCCCCACACACACACCAGAGCGCACGTGGAGTGGGTGGAGTATTACTACTCATAGAAAAGTTCTTAGCTGTTTTAATGACGTGAATTGGTTTAGAATTTTCTACATAGCTTCACGTGGCGCTCTGGGTCGATGAAACGCTTTGGGGTGATTTTTTTAGTGTCCCTCGATGAAATGCGTGAGGGTGATTTATTTGGTGATTTTGGGGGGGTGATTTTTTTGGTGATTTTTGCGTGATTTTTATTCGCCCTCGATGAAATGCTTTAGGGTGATTTATTTGGTGATTTTTTGGGTGATTTTTTTCTAGTCTCAAATTGGCATACAGTAGTGTATATATATATTTTGCTATGTTATTTATTTACGTGGCAATAATTGTACTGTGTCAAGTTTTATTGCTGGGTAGATCAAGTGTGTGTGTGTGTGTGTGTGAACTCTCTCTCTCTCTCTCTCTCTCTCTCTCTCTCTCTCTCTCAGTCACAAAGAACAGAACCTGCTACTAGTTAAGACACCAATACACAAAGACACACACGTACGCTGCCCTCCCTCCGTCTCCCCCTCCCTACCTCCCTACCCCGTCTCTCCCTCTCTCCCTACCTCCTTCCCTCCCCTTCTCCACCCTCCTTCCCTCCCTCTCTCCCTACCTCCGTCCCTCCCTCAGTCAACACGACAGAGTAACCTTGACCTCTCGACCTCCGGAAACTCAAAACTTATACCTGAATGTATGTGGTGCAGGTGTGTGATTGGGCAGGTGTGTGATGTGACTGATGTAGGTGTGTAATTGACTGATACAGGTATGTGAGACTGATGCAGGTGTCTAAAACTGACGCAGGTGTGTTACTAACTCTGGTAAAATAACTTTGTAAATGTGTAAAACCATTTGAAAGTTTTAATTCAGGTTTAGATTTAAAGACGCCTTGATTTTGGCGGGAAAGTTAACTAATACGGATCGTTTCTTCTCCGACAGATGACGTGAACACCCCAAGAGGTCTTCCCTCGTCCGAACGCTTGGGAGTGGCAGTGGCGTCGGTGTCACGCTGTATGTTCGAGCGTCACATCCGGGTCATCAGCTTAGAAATACAAGAAAGGAACAAAGTTGATAATGCCTCGATAGCATAAGGAGAAGCTGCCCCCCCCCCTTGAGTTAATAACAGACCATAAACATTATAAACAATCCACTTTAATCTAACCAAAGGCAAAGCCAACAACATGGGATGTGGTCTAAGTTCAGAGGCCGCGGGCGTCTTATCCAACCCAGTAAGTTTAAACAAATAAACAATAACATTAGATGATAAACAATAACAAAACAACAGAGGAGTTTTAAAGTTTCACCTTAATTCCTGTAACAAAATAATGTATGTATGTAAAGTCTTGCTAAAACTTGGATGTGTTAAATGTGTCTGATGAGAAGAAGGAATTGTGGTTATGTTTACAAATTCATGTTAACAATCTGAATGAGGCCACGGGTGTAATTACCACAATCAATCACTCAATCACTCAACCAATCAATCACATTATATCTCAGACTATAGAAGATAATTGTCATTTTTTTTATAAGATTTGACTTAGAAATCAAATTAATTTTACTCTATAAACCTGTTATTTTTTTCTTTACCAATAAATGAATGACTCAGTAGACACTTTCTCTCCGTCAGGTAATAAGTAAGTAACTCAATAACCAAAATGTGAAAATTTCTAACCAAACTAACCACCCCCCCCCACCACCCCACCACCTCCCCACCCCACCACCTCCCCCACAGCCACCACTCCCCACCACCACCCCACCCCACCACCCCACCACCACCCCCACCCCCCCACTCTCTAACCTTCCATAGACAAGCCCGGACGAAGCTCTTGAGTTCGCGCTACGTAATGGAGACGCTTCAGCCCTCCAGAAGGCCCTCGGCACCCACGCTAATGTCAACAAGACGTTTAAGGACGACTCAGGCTATGAGTACACAGCCCTACACATGGTCGCCAAGCTCGGTACAACTCAGGCTGTGGGTGTCTTGTTGAAGGTAAGGTGTTGATGTTGGTGGTGGTGGTGGTGGTGGTGGTGCAGGGGTAGTGGTGGTGGGGGTAGTGGTGGTGGTGGTGGGAGTGGTGGTGGTGGTGGTGCTGGTGGTGCTGTTGTTGGGTTGGTCACTGTTATGTTGTTATGTGCTGTTGTGATTATAAAGTTCAGTGTAGTGGTGGTTGTATTGTTATTATTGTTGTTATTATTGTTATTAGTAGTAGTAGTATCATATTATTACTATTATTATTATTATTATTATTATTATTATTATTATCATTACATTTCTGTTTGTATTATTATCATTGTCTCTCTCTCTCTCACCCTCGTGCCCTTCTACCTCTTACATGAACATCAAAACAACAATTCACTTGCACAACATCACACACACACACACACACACCCACACACACACACACACACACACACACACACACACACCTCATAACCTTCCCCAACAACCATCACAACAACAACACAGTAATATTACAGATGATCTTCACTACACTCCTCTTTGTTTACTTTATGGTGAGTGTGGTGTATCTGGTCAACCACGTGCTCTTGTTTACCTTGTGTTAGATCAGGGGTCACCAAACTATGGCCCGCGGGCCGGATCCGGCCCGCGACGTCAGTTCATCAGGCCCGCCGTGGTAGCTCCGCCTACGCTCTGACGTTACCATGGCTTCCATGGCTTTCGTTCTGGCTTGCAAGTATTGAACAGAATGATTATGCTGCCCGCGCTCGTCATTCTTTCAGTTATCCGGCCCACTGTGAAAAAAGTTTGGTGACCCCTGTGTTAGATGATCTTTCGGACGTATGTTTCTATTTTCATTCAACCTGAGTTTCAGTTTTATGTTAGGTTAGGTTAGGTTAGGTTAGATTAGGTTAGATTAGGTTAGGTTAGTTTAAGTTAGGTTAGGTTAGGTTAGGTTGGATTAGTTTAGGTTAGGTTAGTTTAGGTTAGGTTAGGTTAGGTTAGGTTGGATTAGTTTAGGTTAGGTTAGGTTGGATTAGTTTAGGTTAGGTTAGGTTCTAGCCACATAATAACACCCTCCTCTCCCACAGGCCGGGGCGAATATCAAGGAGTTTGACAGTGACGGGTTCAGCGCGTTACACATAGCAGCCAAACACGACAAACCTGACGTTATAGCTGCCCTGGTGGAGGTGAGTCTCTCTCTCTCTCTCTCTCTCTCTCTCTCTCTCTCTCTCTCTCTCTCTCTCTCTCTCCCTCTCTCTCACTTCACCATATACGGTCACCAGTCAGCCATTTATCCTCACAATTACTCAGCCATTCAGTCTCTTGGTCAGCCAGCCAGGAAAGCAGCCAGTTATTGTAGGAAGCCAACCAAGAAACCAGTCCACTTACATCACCTACCAAGCCAGCCAGTCAGCCAGACACTCAGACATCTTGACAGCCAACCAAGAAGCCAGGCAGTAAAACAGACAACCAGTTAGAGAGCCAACCTAACCAACTATGCCGGCCAGCCAACTAACCAAGTCGATTCTCGGTCCCACGGGTCAATGACACTGTGCATTCTCTTCAACCCTCATCTACCCCCTCTGCCCCCCCTTCTCCCCCTCTATCTGCCCCCTCCTGTCTCCCTCCTGCCTTCCCTTAACGCACGCACATGAACGACGCTGCAACGCAAAACAGAACCACATACCTCAGTCACGTAACCTAACCTAACCACATACCTCAGTCGCCTAACCTAACCACATACCTCAGTCACCTAACCTAACAGAACCACATACCTCAGTCACGTAACCTAACCTAACCACATACCTCAGTCGCCTAACCTAACCACATACCTCAGTCACCTAACCTAACCTAACCACATACCTCAGTCACCTAACCTAACCACATACCTCAGTCACCTAACCTAACCACATACCTCAGTCACGTAACCTAACCTAACCACATACCTCAGTCACCTAACCTAACCACATACCTCAGACACCTAACCTAACCACATACCTCAGTCACCTAACCTAACCACATACCTCAGTCACCTAACCTAACCTAATCCTGGGGTAGAAAGACACTGAGGCTCCCAACACCGTAATAAATGGCTCGTCATATCACTAATCCTACGAGGGGGAAACGAAAGCTTAACAGGAAAATAAACTAGTAAATTATTATTGGTCAGCAGCAACAGCCAAAATATTTATCCCTGTATGTCTGTCTGTCTGTCAGGTTTAGGTTAGGTTAGGTTAGCATGCATGAGAGTTGGTCACGTGTAGAGGTTGTTCGTGACCTCAGAGGCTGTTCGTGACCCCAGAGGCTGTTCGTGACCCCAGAGGCTGTTCGTGACCCCAGAGGCAGGTCACTCCCTCTGACCCCGCAGTTAAGACCAACACTGAGGGATATATATTTTTTTATGGATTACAACACGACATTGATGACAAGGTGAAGACATGTAGGTAACCTGGGTAATTATAGACATGTTATAGACGTGTATCTGAGGTGTGATCAAAACCATGTCTATTACGGGTACTGTACGTGTTACATTTGTTATATCAGACGTGAAATATATCCGACATGAGACAGATATGCCATATACCAGAACCAGACGTGAGATATATACATGACATGAGCCAAACATGTCACAGACGTGTATCTGACAAGACATGTATACAACACAGACACGGGGGTGAGGGGAACGTCGCATCTGTGTATCACGATGAGCATTAAACATGGCAGGGAGGTGATTCACACTACCTAATGCGTTGTGACCACCTCTCCCCCCTCCCTCCCTCTCTCTTCCCACTCCCTCTTCTGTCTCCCCTCCCCCTCCTTCTGACCCCCCCTTCCCCCCAACCCCCTCCTACCCCCTCCCCCCACTGGGCACTATCGATCGGTCTTTGTCCCGACGAATTACTCACACGCACAGAAATTACGATTTATTTACCTGGCGCGGAGGACGTGTGTGCCAGGTGTAACCAGCCTTGTACCTCACCATCTGTACGGTAATTAGTGGTCACCTGGAGGGGTTTACAGTGTGTGTGTGTGTGTGTGTGTGTGTGTGTGTGTGTGTGTGTGTGTGTGTGTGTGTGTGGGGGAATAGCTAAGACGTATAGTGGCATCCCCTCCTCCGTACACACACACACACCCAGGTGTTGTGTTCACCCACTTCGTCACTGGTCTGTTATCCTCACCGTCTGCCCCCCCCCCTCCGTCTATGCCCTCCTAACCTTACCTAACCTAACCTATTTTGCACTTTAACTGAGGAGGTTTTGTCCAGGGTTTTTTCAGGGGCTTTTGTCCAGTGGGTCTTTTGTCCAAGTGGGCTTTTGTCCAGTGGGTCTTTTGTCCAAGTGGGCTTTTGTCCAGTGGGTCTTTTGTCCAAGTGGGCTTTTGTCTAGAAGGATATTGTCCAGGGGGGCTTTTTTCCAGGGGTTTTTTGTCCAGGGGGCTTTTATCCAGGAAGGGTTTTCTCCGGGGGTCTTTTGTCCTGGTGGCTTTTGTCCAGGAAGGGTTTTTCTCAAGTCTTTGTCTGGGAAGTTTTCTCCGGGGAGTCTTTGTCCAGTTTCTCCGGGAATGTCTTTTTGTCAGGGCTTTTGTCCAGGGGGCTTTTATCCAGGAAGGGTTTTCTCCGGGGGTCTTTTGTCCAGGGGGCTTTTGTCCAGGGAGGGTTTTCTCCGGGGGTCTTTTGTCCTGACCCCCACAGTGTCCTGGTCTCACCCGTTCTCTACCACACAGGGGGAGACCAACGTCGACATGGTCAGCCGAGATGGATCAACGCCTCTCAAAGTTGCCATCATTAACAACAGTCATCAAGCCTTATCCAAGCTGATCGAGGTAAGTCATCACTATCCACCTGAGTCATCACCATCCACCTGGGTCATCACTATCCACCTGAGTCATCACTATCCACCTGAGTCATCACTATCCACCTGAGTCATCACTATCCACCTGAGTCATCATTATCCACCTGAGTCATCACCATCCACCTGAGTCATCATTATCCACCTGAGTCATCATTATCCACCTGAGTCATCACCATCCACCTGAGTCATCACCATCCACCTGAGTCATACCTATCCACCTGAGTCATCACCATCCACCTGAGTCATCACTATCCACCTGAGTCATCACTATCCACCTAACCTAATTCCAACCTCTACACACCTGAGTCAGTAAAAGCGAGACGATACCGTGGCGTGTGAGGAAGGCTGGCAGTACTCTGAGATGGTAGTTTACCCCAGGAAGAAGCTGAGTTCTGATTGGCTGATTTGGAGTAATTAGTGGGGGGGTGTCGTTAACCATGTGTATACAGCGGCTGTTATAATAGATTGATTTATTCTTTATTGTATGAAGCGCCGCTACCTGATGACCTGTGTGTGTGTGTGTGTGTGTGTGTGTGTGTGTGTGTGTGTGTGTGTGTGTGTGTGTGTGTGTGTGTGTGTGTGTGGTGTGGTGTGTGTGTGTGTGTGTGTGTGTGTGTGTGTGTGTGGTGTGTGTGTGGGTGTGTGTGTGTGTGTGTGTGTGTGTGTGTGTGTGTGTGTGTGTGTGTGTGTGTGTGTGTGTGTGTGTGTGTGTGTGTGTGTGTGTGTGTGTGTGTGTGTGTGTGTGTGTGTGTGTGTGTTTTCCATCATCATAATCACTTGCCACTATACTCCGTACCTTTTCATTAATTAAAACATAATGTCAAAGTTAATATTGCGGGTGTGTGCGTTAGCGTGCAGTCCAAACATTATACCAAAAGGAGAAACATTAGAGAAATACACACGCGCGTGCATTAAGGTCATCACCCCCACACACACATTAATTGAGGAGTTGATTTTGTGGATGTGAGTGTTTGCGTGCAGTCCACACATCTGACTTGCCTTGATGTACCTAAGACAACACGCGCGTGCACTGCAGTCACACTCTCTTCACACACACACATTGATTTTTTAAACACTCCTATCCTGCAGTCACATAACCTAACCTAACCTAACCCAACCTAACCTAACCTAACCTAACCTAACCTAACCCAACCTTTATCGTCGGTGCAAAACACATAATAAATTTGTTCTCCCCCCCCTCTCCATCTCCCCCCTCCCCCTCCTCCTCCCCCCTCCCCCTCCAACCAGATCAATAATTACATAACACAAATAAGAAGAAAATCAAAGTTACATTATACTCCATTAACTTATATTAATAATCTATCTTCTCTAAATAATTATAAACCTTCAAACTACAAAAATAATCCACAGGTAAATAATTAATAGTGTAAATTATTCTAACGCTACAAGAATTATAAACAGGTAATATAATGTGAAAGATTATTATTATTATCACTTTTAAAATTATGAATTATTAGGTAAGAAATTATCACTATAAAGTCACTATAACGTCACTATAACGTCACTATAACGTCACTATAACGTCACTTTAACGTCACTATAACGTCACTATAACGTCACTATAACGTCACTATAACGTCATTATATCAAGGTTATACAGTATAGCGTAATTATATATTAGATTCAAACTCTGGATGATCATGTAATCGACTTTATCTTTCCCGATAATAAAGTGACAAACGAACAGACGAACACAGCTGCTATACCACAGTTCATGCTGAGACACAGACAGACAGACATACAGACAGGTCAGAAAGAGAGAGAGAGAGAGAGCGAGACAGAGAAGAGACACACATACAGACAGACAGACATACAGACAGACCCACTACAGTTACAGTGATACATAACTTACTCTCGCCGTTACAGCTGGGAGCGAGTGTCAACGCCACGGCCAACAACACCGAGGCCCCTCTGGTGACGGCAGCCAAGACTAACAACACCACAGCTGTCTTATCACTTCTGCAGGTAGGTACTGGGTGGGTGGGTGCTGGTTCTCCTGGGGGAGGTACTGGTGGTTCTTCTGGGGGTGGTAGTTATTGAATGGTGGTTAAACTTACGGTATTACAGTAAAGAAATCACTTTAAGATTTCAGAATTTAAATCCATTGATCTCTCTCTCTCTCTCTCTCTCTCTCTCTCTCTCCTTCTATTTCTTCTCTTCTCTCCATCCCCTTCTTCTCTACGTCTCTGTCTTCTCTCCCTCCCTTCCTTTCTTCTCTCCCTTCCATTCTTTGACTTGTTTTTCTACCTCTGTTTCTCTTTTCCTCTTCCTCTCCTTCATTTTACCTCTCCCTTTCGTCCATCTCTTTACCTCCGTCTTGCTCTTCCGTGTCTTCCATTCACCGTCTCCGCCTCCCGCCCCCCAGGCCGACGCGCAGTACGAAGGGTTGATGATCCCCATCATGGACAGCGCAGAGAGCCTCGACCTGCTGACGTGGGCCACCAGGAACGGTCACAAGGAGGTGCAGGATGCCATCACGGCCAGGGAGGCGAAGGATGGAAACCAAGACGACGAAATGAAGGAGGAGGAGGAGGGGGAGGGGGAGGGGAAGGTCATCACCAACGAAGAGAAGGATAAGGACACGGACTCCACGAGAGAGGCGGGTGATGGTGCAGAGGAGGCGGTGTCGCCAGGGGAGGAGCCTCCTGATGCAGCCGAGGACCCACCAGCAGAACAGGCACCTGCAGAGGAAGCACCAGTGAACGATGGTGCTGAAGAAGCGCCAGCAGAAGGCAAGGCAGAGGCGGCCGAGGAGGGAGAAGGGGAGAAGGTGAGTGATGGATAACTCTGGTGTCATCATAATATCACGAGACGCCAACCGTCCACCCCACAGCTTGGCTCAGTACCTAAAGCTAATGGTAAACGCTTCTAACTGGTGACATATCTAAGTACAACCATGTGTTAACAGATACATCCAGTAAGGAAAGAATATAGCTCAATTATTTTCTGCACATTGTTTTTGTAAAAGCTTATCACACTGTAGCTCAGCTGGAGGCAACACACTCCAGCTGGGTTGTGTTCACGCTGCTGTAATAAAATTTACATATAAATAGCCAGGGAGGACTGACAGTCACCTGACCCTTATATCAAAGCCATGTGATATACGTGTTGTATATGTTCTGGTCCTAACACAGGTACACGACCCGTCATTAATTACTCTAGTAAGTTGACTTATACAGACAGCTCACTCTGTAAATTGCTTACAATAGTCCTTTAAGCCGCTGTAGCCGCTACTTACATCATAACTTAAAACTTATAAGGCTTTAGTGAAAGACTGAGTCATAATTGTCTCTGTTCTGCTGTAGCATGTTTAGTGCACAGTGTTGCCATTACCGGAGCAACACAATAATGCCATCAGATAGGTCTCATTTGTTACATGTATCTCACCTCCAAATATTTCATTACAGAATATAATTATTTCCTCACAGGTTTTATCTTCATTATATCACAGTTGTTGTACAGAATGTTTATATCATAACAACAATAGAGGCATACAGACAACACAATCGTACACCCTGGAGGATTCGAACCCACGTAATTCAGATACCAAACGAATCCACACTCGAATTTTTGTGAGTTCGATCCTACAGAGTTGACGGTAGTGGTTGTGGTCGTTTGCCGTGGCTTGGTGTGTATATGTATGGACAACAGTACATGATTGTGAACCAAGACTGTTAATGAAAGCTGATTTAAGGAGTCGAATACAAATCAGTTATACTCCAAGTTCACTGAATAATTGATGATGGTCTAGTCGGTGAGGAATGGAAGGTCGGGACTAAGGTTGTGAGTACAGTATATCTACCCTACGCTACTTCAACTAGCCTTTTAAAACATTTGCTTATCTATGCTACTGCTGCCGCGCCATTATGCTTTACCATGGTATTGTAATATGCCTTATAGTATGCCTTAGCGTTTGTGATGTTTGAGTGTATTTTTTTTTAAACATGAAACAGGATTTGAGGTGGAGCAGCCATTCACACACTTCCTGTCCAAGATCATCATGAGTTTTAGTGAAAGAAGAATCAGGGTTTTTTCAGATATATTGACTTCAAGGGCCTTCCCCCAATAAAAAAATATATATACAAAGACTTAGACCATTAAGTAAGGTCATGTTAACCCTTTTGGGAGACGATGACTTAACCCACAAACACGATGACTATATTTACAATGATATAGTGGCCCAGAGCCTACAGTACACAGGGACCACTGCTCTCGTCCACCCATCACACTACAGGTATAGTTGTTATACATCACCCACCATACCTTACCCCAGGACCCCAGGACCCCAGGACCCCAGGACCCCAGGACCCCATCATAACTATACAACACAAAACAATAGTCTTACCCCATTGGACCTAATAACTCAAATTACCGGCAACACCACACCTCATACCGGCTACCTTACACCTCATACCGGCTACCTTACACCTCATACCGGTCACCTTACACCTCATACCGGCTACCTTACACCTCATACCGGTCACCTTACACCTCATACCGGCTACCTTACACCTCATACCGGCTACCTTACACCCTCATACCGGTCACCCACACCACACCGGCTACCCACACCTCATACCGGCTACCCACACCTCATACCGGCTACCTTACACCTCATACCGGTCACCTACACCTCATACTGGCTACCTACACCTCATACTGGTCACCTGTTAATTTCATGGTCACCCACACCTCATACCGGCTACCTGCACCTCATACCGGCTACCCACACCTCATACCGGCTACCTTACACCTCATACCGGCTACCTTACACCTCATACTGGTTACCTACACCTCATACCGGTCACTCTTTTCACCTCATATCACATTTTACACCCTGCTACCGGCACGACACTCATACCGGCTACCTACACCTCATACCGGCTACCTACACTTATACTGCTACCTTACACCTCATACTGGCTACCTACACCTCATACCACACCTACACCTCATACCGGTAAACGTCACACCTCATGACTGTCATACCATGCCTGTCACACCTCCCTGTCACACCTCAATTGTCACACCCCATGACTGTCACACTTATGACTGTCACACCCCATGACTGTCACACTCACTGTCACACCCCATGACCGTCACATCTTCACTGTCACACCCCATGACTGTCACTGTACACCCATGAGACTGTCAAGCACCCCATGACTCATCACACCTCACTGTCACACTCCCATGACTATCACACCTTGCCTGTCACAATTTCATGACTGTCACTACACCACTGTCACACCCCATGACTGTCACACCTCACTGTCACACCTCATGACTGTCACATCTCACTGTCACACCCCATGACTGTCACACCCCATGACTGTCACACCTCACTGTCACACCCCATGACTGTCACACCTCACTGTCACACCCCATGACTGTCACACCTCACTGTCACACCCCATGACTGTCACACCTCACTGTCACACTTCATGCATGGCTCCTAATGACTCCTGTCTCTTATTATGTCACCCATAAAGGAGTCTACCTTGAGAGGGTGACCAATAAGACTCCACCTGAGCCTCATAATGAGAGGGTGACCAATAAGACTCCACACCTGAGCCTCATAATGAGAGGGTGACCAATAAGACTCCACCTGAGCCTCATAATACTAGGTATAATAATAATCGGGTAATTAGTCTCCTCAGTCCTATGTTGTGTGGGGGGACCAGTCAGTTACTCGTCCCCCAGATATTACAATCCTCCCAGGGGTTTAAGGGGGTTTAAAGGGGTTTTAATGAGATTTTAGGGGTTTTAGTGGGCTTTCATGGGGATTTTTAGGGGTTTCTGGGTTTTTTCAGGGGTTTACAGGGGTTTTTCAAGTGTTTACAGGGGTTTACAGGAAGTTTCGGGGGGGTTAGGTGGTTTACAGGAGGTTTTAGAGGGTTATAGGGGGTTTTCAGGGGTTTACAGGGGGTTTAGGAGGTTTCATGAGGTTTCAGGGGAAATCACACAGAGCCAAATGACTTCTACAAATTAGGTCTAGGGCGAGAGGAGTTGTCACTAACATACACACGGTGCTGACATGCCTGCCCAGGTGTTGTCCGTACCTCTCTCATTAGTTTATATGTTTGTAAACTGATAAGGTGTCCCAGTGATAAAGTAATCTAATTGTTGTTGCTTATAGGTCATACGGTGTATATTAATCAATTCTTCTCTGAGTTCCCTTTAGTTCTAAGTGTTATTCTATTTCATCATCTGTTTTACTTGAAGGAATAAAATTAAGTTGAAAAATAAATCGATGGAGAATTGGAATAAAAAAATATTCACTTAAGTGTTGCTTATTCTTCCTGACGACAGGTGTTTTAACTTTACCTGTCTCAATGATTCTTAATGAGTCGTATGTTGGTTAAGTTTTTCCTTAATTTGGGATACGATAAATTTTCAACATACGATTTTTGTTTTACATTTTTGCTCGTAAGTTTATTTTCTCAGGTTAATTAATTTTATTTTTTCAGGTGAATAAACTTTCTCAGGTTAATTAAGTTTATTTTCTCAGGTGAATAAACTTTCTCAGGTTAATTAAGTTTATTTTCTCAGGTAAATTAACTTTCTCCGGTTAATGAACTTTCTCAGGTTAATGGATGAGTCTTACTGTCCCGTTAAGTGAACAACTCAACTTACGGATCATGAGTATCTTACAACAGCTTCAAGAGAGACGATAATGCTTGAGGCTGTTGGTGACGTTAACAATATATAAGACTTTTATGTATAACTCTGCAGCTACATCAAGACACTGTAAGACTTCCTCCCCACAACACTGGCTGGAGTGGTCTTATGATGCAGCACTATAGACTACTTCCACCTTAACCTAACCTAATTTTTCTCATGCACCGTCACACCCCACCTCTCCCACCTCCTGCCCCCCCCTCTCCCACCTCCTGCTCCCCCCCTCTCTCTCCTGCTCCCCCTCTCTCTCTCTCTCTTGCCCCCCCTCTTCTCCTGCCCTCTTCTTTCCTGCTCCCCCTCTCTGCCTCTCTCTTTCCTGCCCCCTCTTCTCCTGCTCCCTCTCTTCCTGCCTCCCATATGCAGTAAACTATCTCACTACTGTTCAGCATCACCACATAATGTGTAGGAGAATAATGTAAACCTCCAAGCATTATGCGTAAAATACGTTAGTCTACAATGAAGATGATGATTTCTACCAATACATATGGGTTTACAATAACCCCCCCCCCAAAACAAAAACTACTTCAAGATGTGGCTGTAGTGATGTTGTGCTTCAGTAGATAATATGAACAATGTCTTATGAGTTGTTGACAATTATAGCTTAAGAGTTAAAGGACTCAGGCTATGTATGGGTATTTTTCCAGTATTTCTAGATGGTTGTTTAGCTGCATGAATAATGGAAATTTTAGCTTTTTATTGTTATATCTTGCATGAATTTTAGCTTCTTAAACAGCTAAAGTAGAAATGGTAGAAAGCTATTAGATTCTACCAGATACAAGGTACCTATATTAAATATCCAGGTTGTTATTTTGCTATTATTGTCATAACTCCAGAGAATTATAGGTTAGGTTAGGTACTGAAGGTGGACTGAATGGAGTTAAGTGTGCTATAATTCTCTAGTTATGTGACTAATGCCTATAACTACAAAACTCTACGGATATAAGTATATAAGTTCATTACTCACCAGCCAGTGTTGTTGTGTGTTCGTGAATCATGAGTAAACACAATTCTGTAAAATAAAACACATCATATTTGGATCAGTTATAAATAAATAGATGAACTCCTATATTTTTATCGCATATAGACATAATAATAATAAAGAATTAGCCTCTCCTCATTAAATGCTGTCTATGGGTAAGCCACTGTCTACAAATTCTAGTTTTTTTTTCTACAGGTCTTATGGTCCTCATCTACAAAACACTACTGTTATGTCACTAATAACTACATAATAACCCACTGTTTTGTAAAGTAACTGGTGAATTATTTGCCTGGTCTGAAATTGTACTCACTTAACTAATTTGTTTTTTATTGACATGTGACGTCATAATATCAACCACCAACCATCGACGGCGCTTACTTTTTTATTCACGTGACGTCATAATATCAACCACCAACCATCGACGGCGCTTACTTTTTTAATTCACGTGACGTCATAATATCAACCACCAACCATCGACGGCGCTTACTCTTTTATTCACGTGACGTCATAATATTAAATAATAGCACCTGTTCAATACGTCCGAGCTTTGTTGATATTCACTCAGAGTTTCAATTTCATTCTACGTCATTCACCATCTGGTAACGTGTCATAATACTTCATCTTGTTCGTAAATAAAAGAACTAATAGTGAGGGAGAGTGTTGAGGTCATCTGGGTGGCGCGGAGGAATACACTCAAGAGTTACTGGGTGATGACGTCAGAGGTGCTGGATCAAAGAGTTACTGGATGATGACGTCAGAGGTGCTGGATCAAACTAATCAATATAATACAATATAATAGAATAATCACCACGTAACTCCCTCCCTCCCGTCTTTTTTATCCGTAACGTTTAATAATTCAAATCATCAGAGCTTCACCTATAAAACGGAAAATAATTACCTAAATATACCGACAATCCTTTGAAATATAGACAATAAGACAATACTGTACTGTTCTGTTCTCACCACTGTATAAGATCTTGCCTTCATAAATCAATTCTTCATTCTTTTTTAATCTACTTCATCGTCTTTCGCTTAATTTCTTTTCTTTGGATAGGATTAAGTGCTTCTAAAACGCTGAATCTTTCCTATTCTTCTTAAATAAATTGTTGAGTTAATAATGGGATCCTGATTCTGTCTCTGTTGATAAATTGGGGACTTTTTTTTTTTACCTGTTCATATCGATTTAATTATCTTTAAAAGTTAAGTCTCCCGCCAGTTAAAGCATTGAGACTTAGGTTAACTTTATACTTTTTTCCCTACAAGGTTTTATACTTTTTTCCCTACAAGGTTTTATACTTTTTTCCCTACAAGGTTTTATACTTTTTCCCTACAAGGTTTTATACTTTTTTCCCTACAAGGTCTTATACTTTTTTCCCTAAATAAGGGCTGTCAAAAAGAGCTGTCATGTTTCACTGAAGATCTGCACGGGAGAGAGAGAGAGAGATATTAGGGATGTGCTTAAGGATGACTGAACAAGAGCCCCAGAGATATGAGGACATGTTCTTCAAGAGTGTTCAATGTTCTTCAATGAGAGACAAAGAACACACACGTCCTCAACCACAGGAAACAGCAGGAGGAAACGGTAGGAGGAAACGGTAGGAGGAAACCCCAGGAGGAACGGCAGGAGGAAACAGTAGGAGGAACCAGGAGGAAACGGCAGGAGGAAACAGTAGAGGAATGGTAGGAGGAAACGGCAGGAGGAAACAGTAGGAGGAAATGTGAAACGGTAGGAGGAAACGGCAGGAGGAAACGGTAGGAGGAAATGGTAGAGGAACGGCAGGAGGAAACAGGAGGAAACAGGAGGAACGGTAGGAGGAACGGTAGGAGAAATGGCGGTAGGAGGAAAGGAGGAAACAGGAGGAACGGTAGGAGGAAAAATGGCAGGAGGAAACGGCAGGAGAAACGCAGGAGGAAATGGTGAGGAATGGGAGGAAACAGCAGGAGGAAACGGTAGGAGGAAACAGCAGGAGGAAATGGTAGGAGGAAACAGCAGAGAAACGGCAGGAGGAAAGGGGAGGAATGGCAGGAGGAATGGCATCAGGGAGGAAATGGCAGAGAGGAAATGGTAGGAGGAAACAGCAGGAGGAAATGGTGGAGAAACAGCAGGAGGAAACAGCAGAGAAACGGTAGAGGAAACAGAGAGGAAACGTAGGAGGAACAGCAGGAGGAAATGGCAGGAGGAAATGGCAGGAGGAAAATGGAGGAAATGGCAGGAGGAAACGGCAGGAGGAAATGGCAGGAGGAAACAGCAGGAGGAAACGGTAGGAGGAAACAGCAGGAGGAAACGGTAGGAGGAAACGGCAGGAGGAGGAGGAAAACCAGAAGAGGAGGAAAAAATGGAACAACAACAAGAGGCAAAAGAATGACCTTTTTGTAAACACCTGAAGACAATTTAATGAGAGAGAGAGCGAAGGTATCAGACAGGTAGAAGATAATTACAGGTAAACCGTGGCTCACCTGACACTTGAGGATGAGTGAAAGGACACCATTAACTTCAAGTATTAGGCAGAAGTGACAGAAAATATCAGGTAAGTATAACGTGTTGGTAGTAGGGTAGGAGAGAGTGAGCTTGGTGTAGGTGGGAGAGGGGAGGGAAGGGGTAGGGGAGGGGAGGGGAGAGGAGGAGAGGGGAGGGGAGAGGAGGGGGAGACATCAATGGATTATTAATTACACCACACAGAAGAGCAGAACCGATACGACTAAGGTTTTATCATAGGCTGAGGGAGCGATAGCGATGAGGTCAGGAGGGTTAAGAGAGTGTGGGGTTTTGATCGGGGAAACTATAGTAAAAAGTTAGCTTAGGTTAGATTAGGTTAGGTTATGTTAGATTAGGTTAAGTTAGGTTAGGTTAGGTTAGGTTAGGTTAGGTTAGATTAGGTTAGGTTAGGTTAGATTAGGTTAGATTAGGTTAGCTTAGGTTAGATTACGTTAGGTTAGGTTAGATTAGGTTAGATTAGGTTAGGTTAGATTAGATTAGATTAGGTTAGATTAGGTTAGATTAGGTTAGATTAGGTTAGGTTAGGTTAGGTTAGATTAGGTTAGATTAGGTTAGCTTAGGTTAGATTACGTTAGGTTAGGTTAGGTTAGGTTAGATTGGTGAAGGGTATTTTGTGGGGGGGGTGGCGGGAGGGACAGAGGTAATGATTATTTTATTTTGCTTTAGAATGTTACGTATATTAGTAAGTGTCTTGGTTAGGGTGATATTTTCTAGTGTTTGTAGGAAGATTCTTTGAGTTTTCCGTTTACTGGTAGGGAAGAAAGGCTCAACCAGGGTAAGGATTCAGGGGTTTTTTTGGGGGGGATAGAATCGGGTGTAAGGTTACATTCTAAAGTGAAAGGTCTACGAAATGTTGTCAGACCTGGTGGACTAGTAATGAGTACCTAATTGGAAGACAAAACTAGGTACAACATACAGCCACTTAATCCACTAGTGTGATTAATGATATTTAACCCTAATTAACCTGTAATTAGTCCATAGTAAATATTATTAAGGAGTTTGGTCTTTATAACAAAAAAATTATTACTATCCTTGGAATTTCTCAGTTTGATTCAGAGTTGTGTGAGACGTGACTGTCAATTAGCACACCAGAAGGAACCAAACTAGAATTATTGGTTCATTTTTTGGCTTTTGTGGGGAAGAGTTATCGTCATCACAGATAATCTCGGCAGACCAGGTATTGTCCGAGGCTTCGACAGGCTAAATTATTCGATGATCGAGACTTGAAAGGAGACAATAAAGAGGTGACAGTAATGAAGGTAATTTAGCATTGTGTGTGTGTGTGTGTGTGTGTGTGTGTGTGTGTGTGTGTGTGTGTGTGTGTGTGTGTGTGTGTGTGTGTGTGTGTGTGTGTGTGTGTGTGTGTGTGTGTGTGTGTGTGTGTGTGTGTGTGTGTGTGTGTGTGTGTGTGTGTGTGTGTGTGTATGTGTGTGTGTGTGTGTGTGTGTGTGTGTGTGTGTGTGTGTGTGTGTGTGTGTGTGTGTGTGTGTGTGTGTGTGTGTGTGTGTGTGTGTGTGTGTGTGTGTGTGTGTGTGTGTGTGTGTGTGTGTGTGTGTGTGTGTCCTTGTACCAACACCGTCAAGGACAGTCATTAGTTCCTGGCCTCTGCTCGTTGAAGTTATATAGCATTTTCGTTATAAACAATGTGAATATAACATAAGAAAACGATGATGTATAAAGCAAGTCCTATGGGTAAAACAATATATATATCCAAAGACGTAACATCGATTAACTGTTCGTATGTATAGCATGAACGCCCTCCTCCACACTATACAGCTTAAAGCATCCCGTAGGTGGCTCTCCAAACGTGTTTTATCAAGGTTAAGTACAAGGCTTCCAGGTCCCCAGCAGGTAGGTCCTGAAGGAAGTGGGCGGGGGTGTCTCTCACTCCTTGACATCATTAATAGGTTGGGTGTTACCTGGAGCGTCTACCTGAGCTTGAGAGGTGTTACCGTCCCGAGAAAACCTTTAATTAATCTGTGGTTGATTTCTTACCCTACAGGAGGAGGAAGCGGAAGGCGATGGCGATGGTGGTGATGCTGATGGTGGTGATGGTGATGATGGTGGTGGTGATGATGCTGAAGGTGATGCCGAGGGTGGTGATGCCGAGGGTGGTGATGCCGAGGGTGGTGATGCCGAGGGTGGTGATGCCGAGGGTGGTGATGCCGATGCTGGTGATGCCGATGCTGGTGAAGCCGAGTCTGGTGAAGCCGATGCTGGTAAAGCCGATGCTGGTGAAGCCGAGTCTGGTGAAGCCGAGTCTGGTGAAGCCGAGTCTGGTGAAGCCGAGTCTGGTGAAGCCGATGCTGGTAAAGCCGATGCTGGTGAAGCCGAGTCTGGTGAAGCCGATGCTGGTGAAGCCGAGTCTGGTGAAGCCGATGCTGGTAAAGCCGATGCTGGTGAAGCCGATGGTGACGGTGATGGTGGTGGTGACGGAAAAGGTGATGGTGGTGGTGGGGGAGACTAAGAGAACAGATCATCAGGTAATTTTCTCTCTCTTTTTGCCACACTCTGTACCTATCTCACCTGCTTGGCTCACCTCCCTCTATCTCTTACCTTTTACTTGTCTGGCACTAATGTATAACAAACATCACACCTCCAGCACAATACCAACTATAATTAAGATAGATTCCTCGCCTATAATAACCTATAATTTGTCTGCCAAAAAATAAAATGAAAAATAATCCCGTATAATAGTCACTGAGACGAACCCCTCATAATACGGGCCCCTCCTAAGACGGACCACTCCTAAGACGGACCACTCCTAAGACGGACCACTCCTAAGACGGACCACTCCTAAGACGGACCACTCCTAAGACGGACCCCTCCTAAGACGGACCACTCATAAGACGGACCACTCCTAAGACGGACCACTCCTAAGACGAACCCCTCCTAAGACGGACCCTCCCACGGACCACTCCTAAGACGAACCCCTCCTAAGACGGACCACTCCTAAGACGGACCACTCCTAAGACGGACCACTCCTAAGACGAACCCCTCCTAAGACGGACCACTCCTAAGACGAACCCCTCCTAAGACGGACCACTCCTAAGACGAACCCCTCCTAAGACGGACCACTCCTAAGACGGGCCCCTCTGAGAGTAGGTCGGGTTGAGCCATTCTACAATACAGTATAACACAGCCTGAGCAGCAACATAGATTTTCACTCAACGTTATTTGGAATCAATTCAACACAGATGTTTATCCAATCGAGAAGAAGAATTTCATGCGTTTGGCCAACCTTGTGTGAGGGTGAGAGTGTGTCAGTAATACCTGGTCACACTTAACTGATGGCTGTACAAACACTCAGACATCCGGGGGTCACGTCTTACACTCTTCCTCATCCATGTTACACCCTCCTCATCCATGTTACGCCTTCCTCGTCCATCTGAGACCCTCCTCATCCATCTTACACTCTTCCTCATCCATCTTAAACCCTCCTCATCCATCTTACACTCTTCCTCATCCATGTTACACCCTCCTCATCCATGTTACGCCTTCTTCGTCCATCTGAGACCCTCCTCATCCATCTTACACTCTTCCTCATCCATCTTAAACCCTCCTCATCCATCTTACACTCTTCCTCATCCATCTTAAACCCTCCTCATCCATCTTACACTCTTCCTCATCCATCTTAAACCCTCCTCATCCATCTGAGACCCTCCTCATCCATCTTACACCCTCCTCATCCATCTACTCGTACTTGAGAGCTCACAAAATCAGTCATTTAATATTATGAACAATGATAACTCGACACGGTGTATTTCTGACCTCAAGTAAGATTCATTCAAAAGTTCCGCGGATTCTGAGAGTGAGGATGAATAAGGAAGGCCAATTTCTCATCAGTGTGATATAATGTTTCTCATTTTCTTCCCCAGAGAGACGCCCCATCGTGGTGTGTGTCTCAGCGTCGTGGGGGGGTGTCATTGTGGCCCATCGCTCTTTCTCGCGTGGAAGAATTTGTATACCGTGCGTCTTAATGGTGTAAAAATATTTATTATTATATACCAATAAACAAAAATGGTACTAATTATTACCATGTGTGTGTGTGTGTGTGTGTCTGTGTCTGTGTGTGTGTGTGTGTGTCTGTGTGTGTGTGTGTGTGTGTGTGTGTGTGTACTGTCGTTTTTTTTTAAGACACACTTACGACCAAAGGGACACCTGACTATACTTCATATGTGACCACCAAACATTTGACTACCAGCCGCCACATCAAGTGACCACCAGACACTCATAACATACACACATCCACACATCTGACTAACCACAACTGTGACTAACATACATACGACTAACCACAACCCACACACTCACACTGAAGTATAAATGTGATGTGATGCCGTGATGTAGTAGCCATTTTCTAGAAGTTACTATTTACTATAATTATGACAGTAAAGTATAAGACCTGACACAGTTACCTAATATTCACGTATATTTTGAGATTCAGAGTTCAATTACCTTTTAAATATGTGACTTTAATTAGTGTTCTTATGTATAATTACAGGTGTTTTCAGTACAAATAGGTTATACAGAGTTTTATTGTAAGGAATTAATCTTTTTTTTTAACGACAGGTTAAGAAACTTGTTAAAATATTGAAGAAACAAAATCATATATTGACTTAAAATTTCACAAATAACAAAAACTCTGGTGGTAGAGTTTGTTAAGTGTTAATGTATGAAGAGAGAGAGAGAGAGAGAGAGAGAGAGAGAGTCAGCATATTTCTCTTTTAATTACAACTATGTGTCAGAGTCATACTGCCTTCCTGTACTAGTGATATAAACAGATACATTATAATAAAGAACTTACTAAGGCAAGCCCTCTCCTTGTCCTTCCTTCACCCACAAGAGACCCCAGGATTCGTTCACCCATCCACCCATTAACCCATCCACCTACCTACCCATCCACCTACCTACCCATCCACCTATTCACCCATGATTGAAATAGATCCATCCACTGGTAGGTAAAAGACTGATGGGTAAATGAATGGGGAACAACAAGAGCAAACTAGAGTGATTCACCAGGGAAGTGTATAGACAGACACTCACTCCCACACCTCCTCCCATTCAGGTTTCTCTTGGTTAGGTTAGGTTAGGTTAGGTTAGGTTAGGTTAGGTTAGGTTAGGTTAGGTTAGGTTAGGTTAGGTTAGGTTAGGTTAGGTTAGGTTAGGTTAGGTTAGGTTAGCTTAGGTTAGGTTAGGTTAGATTGTTTATCACATCCAGCCTTGTAGTTCAACAGCAGTTTAATATAGAAACAAATAAATAATTACTTTATATAAATGGCTTAGTAAATATGATAAACAAATTCTAAATGTCTTCCAGTAACACACACACACACACACACACACACACACACACACACACACACACCAGACATTGACCTATCTAACTACGCACATTTTAGCAGTCATGCCACGTGACCTGTACTCCACCACAACATGTTTACGTCCTGTGAGTGGTACTTGAGGTTCATCAGTGTGTGTGTGTGTGTTTGTGTGTGTTTGTGTGTGTGTGTGTGTGTGTGTGTGTGTGTGTGTGTGTGTGTGTGTGTGTGTGTGTGTGTGTGTCCTCTCATCACCTCAACGTCGTCTACTAGATACGTATGAACACAAACTCTTCAGAAACACCAATAAAATATGCAATGTTAAGTAGTTTCATTAAATTCTTTACTTGTCATCATCTAGGACACAAAAATATTCAAATGTTTAATATTTTTTTGTCTGTGGGAACGACGGGATAATATGTTATTGAGAACGTTGAAATGTTACAATGAACCCACTAACAGAGGTGGAACTGATATTTAGGGAAAGGAAGAAGAGAAATTAAAGAATATCACTATCAGAAAAGAGGATGTTCTTAAGAAGATAAATAAACTAAAGAAAACAAAATCCCCAGGGCCGGATGAGATTTTCCCTCGAGTCTTGAAAGAGTGTAGGGAACAGATTAGCGGACCCCTCGTAAACTTATTGACAAAATCATTAGACACGGGAGTTGTGCCAGACTTGTGGAAACAGGCAAATGTAGTACCCATCTTCAAAAAGGGAGACAGAGCATCAGCGTCAAATTACCGGCCGATCAGTTTGACGTCAGTAGTGGGAAAATTTCTTGAATCAATTATAGCAGATAGCATCCGATCGCATCTAGAGAAAAGCAAATTAATCTATGACTCTCAGCATGGGTTTACAAAGGGAAAATCTTGTCTAACAAATCTGCTGACGTTTTTTAGGAAAGTCTTCGAGGTAGTAGATAATGACGAAAATTAAGATGTTATTTACTTAGACTTTAGCAAAGCGTTTGACAGAGTACCGCATCAGAGGCTTCTGAGAAAAATTAAGGCTCATGGTATCGAGGGGAAAGTTTTAAATTGGATAAAATCATGGCTCACCGATAGAACGCAGAGGGTCAGCGTAGATGGTGTTAAATCTGAGTGGGGCCGTGTAACCAGTGGGGTTCCCCAGGGGTCAGTACTAGGCCCACTCTTGTTCATAATCTACATAAACGATCTAGATACTGGGATCAGCAGTGACATAAGCAAGTTTGCGGATGACACCAAAATAGGACGGCAGATTAATTCAGGGCAGGATGCAAATGCATTACAGGAGGATCTAAATAAACTGCAGGGGTGGTCAGGAAAATGGCAAATGAAATTCAACACCAACAAGTGCAGCGTACTTAATATTGGAAGAACAAATACTGATAATGTATACAGCCTTAACAACATCAACCTAGAGAAGTCGACTTGTGAAAGAGACCTAGGGGTACTTGTAAGCCCGACCTACCCTAGAAAACAGTGCGTTAATGTTCGAAATAAGGCAAAACAGAGTATTGGGTTCTATATCTGAAGTGTAAGTAACAAGAGTGCAGAGGTCTTATGCAACTATATCTTGCGCTAGTCAGGCCGCACCTCGATTATGCGGGTTCAGTTCTGGTGCCCCTATTATAGAATGGATATAAATTCACTAGAGTCGGTGCAGCGAAGAATGACAAAAATGATTCCGGGACTTAGAAACCTTCCATATCAGGATAGGTTAAAGAAACTTAACTTGCATTCCCTAGAAAGACGAAGAGTGCGGGGAGATATGATAGAAGTATTTAAGTGGGTGAAAGGAATCAATAAAGGGGATATAGATAAAGTTCTTATAATATCCGAGCAGGATAGGACTCGGAGCAACGGATTCAAGTTGGATAAGTTTAGGTTTAGGAGGGAGATAGGAAGAAACTGGTTCACAAATAGGGTGGTGGACGAGTGGAACAAGCTTAGTAACTTTGTAGTAAGTGCGGGAACTCTGGAAAGTTTCAAAAGGAGGCTGGACAGATTCATGGATGGTAGAGAGTGGTAGTAACTCTCGACAGGAGCTGCCATGCACAGGCCAACCGACCTATTGCAGACTCCTTATTTTCTTATGTTCTTATGTAACACTTCGGTAAAATGGGCGGACAACACAACAGCTCCTGGGGAGAGTGATGCAAGGAGGGGTGAGTGTGATGCAAGGAGGGGTGAGTGTGATGCAAGGAGGGGTGAGTGTGATGCAAGGAGGGGTGAGTGTGATGCAAGGAGGGGTGAGTGTGATGCAAGGAGGGGTGAGTGTGATGCAAGGAGGGGTGAGTGTGATGCAAGGAGGGGTGAGTGTGATGCAAGGAGGGGTGAGTGTGATGCAAGGAGGGTGAGAGTGAAGTGATGCAAGGAGGGTGAGTGTGATGCAAGGAGGTGAGTGTGGGAGGGTGAGTGTGATGCAAGGAGGGTGAGAGTGATGCAAGGAGGGGTGAGTGTGATGCAAGGAGGGGTGAGTGTGATGCAAGGAGGGGTGAGTGTGATGCAAGGAGGGGTGAGTGTGATGCAAGGAGGGGTGAGTGTGATGCAAGGAGGGGTGAGTGTGAGGCAAGAAAGGATGAAAGTGATGCAAGGAAGGGGTGAGAGTGATGCATCAGGTGAACCAGCCATGACAACCCTTCGGTCTGTCTGGAGAGTCGAGGTTAGGTTAGGTTAGGTTAGGCAAGTCTTTTTACCTGTGCTGGCCAATCATCCTCAAGTAAATCTTCTCACCAATACAGGTATCCATTTTCTCATCAGTTAGACATAACTGATAGGCTACAGGTTAATAAGCCATAGATAATTATCTGCATGCTGAGAATAATCTTTCTTCAAAATAGATCCAAGTATGTCACATTATCTTCACGGTAGAAATGAAGGATAATCTTAATATCCAAATGTATGAATATCCAGGCAATTTGGATAAAAAGTTCTTGATATTTCTGTTTTTCTTCCCATCTAAGTATGAATCTAGGCGTACAACATCTCACCTGCTGAGAGACGAAGGACAAACAGAAACCTTTGAGATGCAGAATGAGAAACGGTCAGTGATCCTCAAGCGGGAAGCTGTACGCGGGGCCAGCCAGTGTTGTTGTGACAAGAGGCGTCAGTGGGACCTTGCTCTTACTGCCTCGCTTGCCCGCTGCGTCTAACGATGGTTATTACTTGTGTCAGGTGATGATTGCTTGTGTGTCTGTGTGTGTGTGTGTGTGTTTTTTTAGTAAGGTGTATGTAGGTTTGTGGGGAGGTTTTGGCGTGTGTATTCTTGTGTGTTTTTGGGGATGGATACTATAAGTCTGTATGTATGTTTGTGTAAATATCTGTACATGATACATGGAAGAGACACCCCCCCACATAAATAACTTAACCTCACGTATTAAACCATAAACCTTAACACTGGTAACATAAAACATTCAAATCCTGCATTATCATTCACATAAAATTCCTCCTGACTCCCGCGTTCAACTGGCTATAGAACCATCCAGAAACTACACCTAACCCCTTGTGTATGGTGTCCTCTTTGAGCTGAATAAAATTATCTAGCATTAACCAAATAAAATATTGCAACTGGCGTCCCCGTAGTGAAGACGTTAATAGAAAAATTCGCATAACACAAGGAAAATGGTAGGGAGATGGATTACGATATTTTCCTTATCGCATTTGGTCGACATATTTTCCCTCAGATCATAGAGCGTTGTTGCCGGGAGCTGCATAGGGCGCTGGGATAAAGGTTCACATCTGTCCATTGAATCATCACAGAGAGACAACTGGTCGCTTATACTCTGTCGTAAAGGCTGACGGGAAGGACTAATGCCGGGTCACATAACACAGCATACGAATGGATACTTCAACTCTAGATTTTTCCTGCGCCTCGATAACTTGTTAAGGTCCTTGTGTCCATACTCTAGGTTAGGTCATACACTAGACATCAAAAATTAACAGTTAAATAGTTATATATCTTTCTGACTATACGTAACAAGGTGGCACAACCTGGAGTGAGTGACTGAAACATCAAACAAGTGAATCATGTCTTTGAGCCTACAAGTATCGAGGTCACCAAAACATTTATACTTCCTTGTATCCGATAAATAACCTGTTGACGGGTGTTCAAGCTAATGCAAAACGACTGAAAAATGTGAAGAGAGAAACAAGAAAAATAGGCATTTGTGAAAATATTATTACTGTGCTTCAACAACTATGGTATTTAAGCGTACAATGTGGTTATTAATCACATCAGGTCTATCAGTGTCTTAAACAGTTGAAATCTAAAATAAAAAGATACCAATAAAATTTGATAAATGGAAAATTAATAATACTGTATTTACTTTTACTTTTTTCTTCTTCTCCACTGATCGGCTCGCTATCCCCTTGGGCGGCCGGTCATGTCTCTGGAACGGAAATAAAATAAATGTACAGGGGAAATTTGTTCACAATTATACTACATTATTACGAAATATATGATAGATATGTAAAAAATATAATAAAGGTTACATTATATAAAA